TGAAAAGAAGATGGATTCGAGATCTCCTTTTGTAAATACATTTTTAGAGTGCTACCAGTGGGTAGTTTCTCAACAAGTGATTTCATGCTATTTATTATATTCTTTTGTTCACATATACTGGATGTATTTTTATCTGTAATACAGTTGTAAATATCATCAATAAATAAAAAAATTAAAAAAACGTATCCTTTTTGTATTATTAAAATAAATTTTTATTTAAAAAAAAATGTACTTCATTTAGATATTAAAAATATTTATATTTATATATCATATTTTTTAGGTAAACAGCCATTAAGTAGAAATAACTTTTATATCTATAGCTTGAGTAATTAATAATGTATGGTATAAAACATTGAAGTAATCTACAACCAATACTAATTACATCTCATTAAAGCTAATTAAGTTTAATTTATATGCTAATATTAATAACTACTATAAAAAACAATATTATTGTGACCTTAAAGCTGAACAGCATCAGTAGTTACTGATGCAATGCATACCGGTCGTCTTGCTGCCTTTAAAAGCCTTGAGATAGAACAAGGAAAAAGCGAGAAAAAAAATGTGTATATATATATATATATATATATATATATATATATATATATAAAACATTAGTAACATACATTTTAGCTGCTAATTAAAATTAATACAAGTTTGCGAATCTTTAATCTTACACAAGTACATTTACGTGTCTTTGAAAGACTCTAAATTTTTCAAATAAATTTTTGCAGTTTCTGAATTGGTATAAAAAAATATATACATGTTCATGAAACTGGATACAAATCATTGAGAATTTATGGATTTCCAATGTCATAAAAAGATCTATTTTTTTTTTTTAGAGCTGTTCCAAACCGTATAATAATGTAAATAGAAAAAAAAAATTAGAAATTTTCGCCATTTAATTTATATCCTTAATATTTTTCATCGAAAGAGCTAGTCTAGTTAATCGGCAGCTGGGGCGCAAAGCCTTGTGACATTAAGATGATACTAAGTTTTTTTGTTTTTTTTCTTCCTCTCTGATATTATTGACAAAATATTTATACATATATTTCGAAACCAATATATTTTGTTATTAATATTGGAGCTTAGGTCAGAGAAGGAAACACAATGTTAGTTTCAACTCCGTGTCGTTAAACTTCGGTCTTCGGCTGCCAAACGATTGTGGGCGAGCTGTAGTTTAATTAATATTTCGAACTAAGCAGTAACTAAGGTTACGAACCGTAAATCCATTTGTTTTTGAAGGGAGTAGAACCATTGCACAACCATTGATTGCCTTAACAGACACACGCACGCCAGCGATGCAAAAACATGGCATAAATTTAAACCCTTATATAACAAACGAGCGGGGACATAGATGGCTTCCACCCACTTAAAAACAATCGAGAAGGAGACGCTCAATCCTATTAAATAGAATCAAATAAAAGAAGATAACTTCAGAGTGAAGTAACTTATATAACAAGTAAACAAATTAAGAATTTTTATATAAATTGTAATAAGCTCCTCCAAACCGAAACAAACCAGAGCTTCAAAATTATAAAAGGAGCCACAAAATTTAGCAAAGGCCATCGTGTTCAAACTATTCATAAGTTAGTGCGGTTTTTTAACACCTGATTTATCTGGTAGTAAGTCAAAAGTCCAATCCATCAAAAACATGCATATCATTTAACAGGAAACTATGAAAGCTAAAAATATAATTTTTAATCAAAAAGATATTTCGTTGTTGGTGTAAAAGCTCAAGGGTTATTCATTCAAAAAAAAAAAAAAAAAATTAAGTGCTTCCAATTTGAAACAATAAATTTATCATGAAATGGTGTACTTTAGTAAACCATTAAACCAACATATCTCAAGCAACACAAACATTAAGCAAATGTGTAAAAGTGACAATCCTGCAAACCCAATCACCATTGGGCATGAAAAACACTAACTTAGAGAAACACCACACTACATGATCAAGTAACTCATATTTTGTGAAATGAAAAAAACCCGGCTTTACAGACAAGACAAATAAAACAAAAAAATATTTTAAAATTAAAACATCAGGATATATTTTTTTGAAAATCACTATTTCTAATAAACAATCTTTTTAAATGGACCAACACAATGCTATTGATCAATCCGGATTTTGTAGTCAGGTTTCCAAGTTACTAGACATGGGATCTAAATTGGAAGCACAGGGTAGTTAAAACCATTCGACTCTGTGGTCTGCTTTGTGTTTTTTTATTTTGTGTTACATAAGGAAAATAGAGTTAGTGTTCGGCCATCTGGAAGAGTCCACATTCTTTACCTTGAGGATGAAGAAAATAGGATGAACATATCTCTTGTGACCGTGACGTTCTTACTTACTACAGACAATAGAAATTAAATCAGATAATACTTATAAAGTGAAAATATTTGGAAGAACTCCAATGGAGTTAATGTGCTTCGTATGAGGAGTTTTCAAAAATTATTCATTGGTATCCCATCTCTTAACATGGTAATAATAATACATCGTTAACAACAGAATCGCAATTCACCAAAAATAAGGTTCTATACGGATGTATATGTTAGGTTCTTAATTTAAAAAAAAAAAACCTAATACAACGAAAACATGAAAAAAATTAAAAAAAATTAGGTAAGCAAAGATATTTTTGAAAAATTTCGTTTTGATCAAACATAACATTGTTCCCTTCAATCCGCTAAGCAGATTTCATGGAATATTGGATTTTACTGAGAAATGGAGGTCCATTAGTGAACTCAAATGTTATTTTAAAAAGGGGAGAGGGTTTCGCGGACGTAATCCCCTACCACTTTACGTTTCTATTAGCTTTATCCGATCCACGCAGTCCCTGATGAAATTTGTTCAAACGAGTACCAAGAGAAAAATTTCATCACAAGCGTGCATTAGTTAATTGGAGCTGAAGATAAAAGGGTGGGCCCTGCTTCGTAGCGAGCAGAGGCAACAAAAATATATTTCCACCAAATTGGGAGCCGTTTCTTCTTGATGATATTTATTAAATAAATTAAACCAGATTCTTTTCTTATTCTCAAGTTTTTTTTTTTAGTTTTATTATAAAATTCTTGATTATAGAATGCAAACTAATATTTTATAATTTGTAGTTTATTATTATTAGTTAGTATATATATATATATATATATATATATATATATATTGTTTTTTTATCTATTTATTGAATAATAATACAATCAGCCACTGCTGGAGGGCTATAAGTATTAGAGCTAAGAGTTCTCATTCAAACAATATATACAAATAATAGAGAAATAAATATAAATATAAAAAGTAAATAAATAATACTGATGAAGAAAGTAAATAAAAGAAAAAAAAGTAAACAATAACATAAAATAGAAACTTCTAAGCCAGGCTTTTTCCCCCACATGTGGAAGGCAAAGCAAGACTCCAGGAGATCCCAGTGCCACTTTTCCAGCCGCATCACTAGTATTAAATATATAATTAGAAATCTTAGAAAGTAATCGATTAATCGGCAAGAATTCGAAGCTACCGAACTGATGTACAGGAGCAGAATCATACAATGTATGAATAAAATAATAATCTCATTGTCTTTATAAAATATATATTGAATGTAAAAAGCTATTGATATGACTTTTATAATGTTCCCGAAAACGAATCCACTCACTATAAGTATTAATATAATTATGTAAATTCAATTGGGATTAATTGAAAAAATTATAATTAAGTAACAATATAAAATTAAATTTATTTAATTCATATAAAACTTTTGTAAAGCTTTGGTAAATATAGTAATTTATTTTAAAACTACTTCGTTAAATTATAAAAACTTTTTTATTTTATTAACGAAATTTACAACTGTAATTAATAATAATACAACAAGTAAATATGAACAAGTAATATGACATGTACAACATGAGGAGAAACTACCCATTGTTAGCACTCCAGAATTATAAAAACAAAATTGAGAATTGCTCTAGTTTAAAGCTACTTAATAAAAATTGGCTCTAAACATTTTGAAAATTTTCCAACTATGATATAAAGACACTTATATGGGTTTTTAAACGTATTAATCTATGTTGAAAAACCAAATAAAAAAAGATGACTAATGAATTTTTAATATTAAATAAACTCAACATCAAAGTTTAATTCACACAGAGAGATGACTTTTCCGGCGTTTTACATATTCTGATAACAACAATTTAAAAAAGCTAAAACAAAAAAAAAAAAAAAGAAATCGGACTGCTATGTGTAGGGAAATCATCCACATACGCTCAATATTCGTTAACTTTACTCAGATACCGTAGTTTCACCATGTCCAAATCAGATAAACATTTTGCATATACTCATATTTTTTATACTGAGTATAAATGCAGTAAAACTAAAATTAATGTTAGTATGAATGTTACATACAAAAGAAAAACTCATAACCTTTAAATTTTAAACGTAGATATTTTTTTAATAAAAGCATTCAACCTTCAAACGTACCAATTTTTAAAATAAAACGAAACTATAGTCATGAGAAAAAAAATTCAAAGACAATAAAAGTTGAAAATAGGTCAAGAAAACAACAGTACTCTAAATACTGTGCTCTTTTTAGTATAAATATATATATATATATATATATATATATATATATATATATATATATATATATATATATATATATATATATATATACATACATATATATTTACAAACAGTACAGTATTTAGATTACAGTTGCTTTCTACAACTATTTTCAATTTTTATTGTCTTTGATTTTTTTTCTTTTCTTGCGACTCAAGTTTCGTTTTATTTTATATTATAATGGGTATTTTCAATTTTTGTTGAAATACAATACATATATTATATAACCAATTATATTATATAACGGAAGGCAATTTCTTTTCCAAACAGATTCAACAACGAATCTAATAACGTATACCAAATGTAAAAATTTATTTTATTATATTGTTATTTTTTTACATTTGTATTTATTTTTTAACATCCTAATAATGAAATACATAAATGGTTTCTGGTTCAATAAATAAAATCAATACACGTTTCCACGTTTAGTGAAAGAAGCTAAGCTCTTCAGGATTTGATTAGGAAAAGGAGCCTTCCAAGGGAGGAGCCAATCTTCAGAAGTAACAATACCTTCAGGGATCTCGTGTTTCCTCAGCTCTTGTTCCCTGACAGGTCTGGACAAAGTAGTTCCCGCAGCAAATCTTCTCTTCCAGAGCATCAATGGTATTTCTCTGTCGCTGAAGAAACTTTCAAACAACATAATACTCTAATACAATCTTTAATTACTCTTCATAAACTTGTACTTAAATACTTAAGGAACCTCTCACATTTTATTTATCTTTTTTTCTACTGTCCATTATAATTTATAACGGATAAAACTTAAAGACGATATTGCCGGTGATATCGATATAGAAGAGAAGGTATTTGAGCACTTAGAGAAGTTTAGGTATTTAAGTTCTACGATAACTAGAAACAAACGAAATAGAAGAGGAGATTAAGGTTAGGCTGAAGGCAGGGAATGCTTGTTATTTTCTGTGACAAAACTGCTTAGCTTGCGCCTCTTGTCCCGCAACTTAAAAACTAGAATCTATAAAACCTCTTATATTACATACATTTCTTTATGGATGCGAAAAGCGGCCGCTTACATCAAGGGATGAGCTGCGTCTTAAGGTTTTTGAAAATAAGGTATTGCGTAGAATATTCGGACCGAAGAAGGATGAGCTAATCGAAGAGTTCAGACGGTTACACAATGCTGAATTGCGTGAACTATATCCGGTTAGTATAATTGAGGTGATTATTCGCACCGATTTGATTGGGCTTAAAAATTGTTGGTATTAGTAATGGAAGAATTTCTAAAACGTTAATATTTGCTGTACCAAATGGTAAGTGTCCGAGGTGTAGACCGAAGCGAAGGTGGGAAGATTGCGTTAAAGCCAATCTGAAGGGACTGGATTTGGACGGCGAACCTTCGGGTTCACTAAGCCTTTTATTATTATAACTTAAAGGATAACAATAGAATACGGCCAGTTAATTAAAACGGCCTACGCCGAGTATCTCCTTCAGGGCTAAACCAAAAAGATTCGAATGATACAAGAAATTAGTGATCGCAATAATTAATAAAGCGAATTTGAAAAATTTAAGCAGTGTACTGTAAATAATATCGAAACAGTAAGTTAGTATTATAATTAGGCCCCTATTAATATTTCATTAATATATAGTATTTATCGAGGTAAAATTCGACTTAAGATGGAAAATGAGATATTTAGGCACTTCTGATCAACCAAATGTCTTTCTCGGTGACTGCTAGGTATACATCAAATTGGGTTCACAGTAAAGGTATACATCACAGTAAAGAACGGAAAGTAATTCTAACAACAGTAAACCTAAACAAAAGAGAAAACGACGTGACAAGACAAGTAGAAACGTATATCTTACACTGCAACTTAAACATTGTTCGTTGGAGGACAATGAAGAAGACAGAAGCAGTTAATGACATAAAGAGGTCCAATATACGAGCGAAGTTAGGAACCTCCGGGTTCCATTGTCCACTGCTGAAGACAATGGCGGTTAGTGACAATGGGCAGCTCCAGCATCCTGGAACTCTGTCATTTCTGCCCAACCAGGTGAGTTCAAAACTTAATCCCATTGGTTAGCGATGTTGAGGATTACATACTCTGTCATTATATTATAGCAACCTTCCGTGGACTGGGATCCAATATGGATTCTGATTAAATGACCAGTGAAGTATATTCGGATTGAGAACTTGGTCCAAATAACATTTCCAAACTATAAATAATATTATCAGGATACTAATATCAAATAATTCAAGAAGTAGTTCATTTATACAAAAGATGTCCAACTTGAATTCTCGTTACTAAGTTTAAACAGAGAATGATGGGTATGAAGACAGATGTTCTGTTTCGTACATGCAGAGCTTCAAAAGAACAGAGCCTCCCAATAGACGTCATGAGAAACTGAAAAGGCACCTACTTAAAAGGTACGTCCTGCTAAAGATAACTCTCAAGTAAACTGTATATCAGCGACATTTTGTTAGACATATTTCTCAGCTCTCATACCAATCGCCTTCACACTTAATATTTGATGAATTATAAAATACAGTACATTTTAATGTAGTAGAAAGCAATCCACGCGGGGTGTTGTACGACCAAATCCTTAATTTGTAAACACATATTTCAAATACAAATATTACAATCAGGCAAAATTTTAGCAAAATTGATAGTTTATTTTTGCCTTACATAATTTTATTTTATAAGCTACTATTTTTAAGTTCAGGAGAACGTAAGAAAAAAAATCTTTGAAATAAAAACAAGAGCCTGTACCACTACAACCTTGTGTTCAGTGCACCGTAAGGAAGTACTTTCATGAAGGCAAAAGATTGTGCAGAGAGCTGATTTGGCAGAGATTACATTCGAACGTTAGTTTTCCCTTCTTAATTAAATATTTAATTTAGAGTACCAAACTTATCGATGATGGGTGGGCAACAGGAGAATGTTCTGCTCAAGACCGAACCATGTATGAAGTAAAAGAATAAATAATTACTTGCTAAAGCCGGTCTATAACCTTGAGCATAGGAAGTCAGTACCTTACCGATTGAGGTAATCCGCTCTCAAATCGTTGAAATATCAAATGTATAGACGTATGAAGTAGATCACGGCCTTTTGGGTTTATTACTCTACTACACGGTATTACCCATCTCCATAATTAAAATGAAATTTTAAAACTTAACTTCAATGAAAATTTATGTACGGGTTATCAGCTGTTATCTAACCTGAAAAGATCCATTTCATATATAATTTTGCTATCAAGGAATCTTAATAAACGCACTTACTAACTTATTTAACAGATGAAAACGGCCTTACATTATACAACCTTGCATGTATAAGGGCTAAATCTATTTGATCAAATGACCTCGGACCTTACAGCCAGTTCCACTCATGTTACCATGTTGATTCAGATCTCCTTTTCAATAGACGCCAAACCAATTCCGGGTTCATATTCGAGTCCATCAACGATGTTTGCAGAGCATACATCATTAATAGAACCCTTACGGCACGCGGAAAGTAAATATTTTTCCCCTTTGAAATAGAATAGCAACTACCAGTGTGTGCGATAATATTTCATTTAGAAACCAAAGATTTTACTACAAGCTCATCTATTATTCCAATATGAAAATATAGATCCTACTATTCAAAATTTGATAATTAATAATCAGGCTTTCTATAAAATCCGCAATGAATTTAATAAATCTGAAATTCGTTAAAGAAAAAACAAACAAGAGTAACTCTGATGAGTATTAAAGAATTTATTCCGTTCTTTTGAAAGTTAATTGATAACAAGTTCTGCGTATCATATTTCATGATAAAGCTAAATAATAATTTATGAATTGTTTGGAACATAATTTAAAAAAAAAAACGAAATAAATACTAAAAAAGGGATAAATTACAATGATAAAGATAAAAACGAAATAGCTGTCAAAAACTTTCACACTGGAAATAAATAAATCATTATCAGAAAAGAATTAAATTATTATAGGCTCATTCATACGTTTACACAGTAGTAACAGTGGATAGAATGAATAATTCCAATTTTGATATTTATATAGTTAACCACTGTCAAAGTGGGTTATTTTGCACAAGTATGAGGATTTTCGTGATAATCTGTATTTACACACTTATAGGTGTCAGTGATATATAAATAGTAAAATTGGAGTTATACATTCCGTCCACTGAAAGGATCACATTTAAGTATCCTATATATTATTTCTAAAAGGTATTTATTTGTCGGTAGGCATCATTAAATCCAATCATTGACCACTCATATTCTTCTCCTTCATATGCGAAAAATACCTCTCCCCGAAATTTCTGAAAAAAAAGTTATGAAGGAAAAGAAACTTTATTTGCGAATAACTCAAAAAGTATGCATTTTTTTCTGGATTGTATCTATGATAATTAGAAAGATTACTAAATTGCCTACAAAACAAAAATTTAAAAATCGTAAAAATCGAACAATTATTAACAAAGATACAGTCCATTAGTTTTGGTATACTTAATAATGTATTCCTCTTTAAAGATATTGTACTTAGGAATACAATAGCTTACTACACTTTTTTTCCTAGCTGATATATTTTATTATTTGTTTATTTAGAATTATTACATTCTGTCACATCAAGGACATTTATAATAGTGATCAGAGAAAGCACACTCACACTCTATTTACAATAAAAAAAAATAAATAAATAAATAAATAATACAGAAACTTAATAATAATAAATACAATAAAATAAAATAAAAATAAATACAATAAAATAAAATAAATGTATATAAACAAAAGAACTAACCTAATCATACACACTCGGGCTTGAGTGGAGGATCTGGCCATTGCCAAAACTCCAATAGATGCTTATTTACAAAAGGTCTCTGGGCCACTGCCGCTTCAACCTTCGAGGAGGATTGTAAGGATGGGTGGTGCTGGATAGAGATTGTGCAAGGGGATTTGGATGATAGGTAAGGTTTTGGTGAAATTTGGAGAATTTTTCTGGAATAAGGTCTAGGACAAATGGGATATTAAGGTCATGGTGTAGGATTTTGTTATTTACATAGAACGGAGCATCAACTATTGTTCGAAGGACTTTAGATTGAAAGGATTGAATACGTTTGATGTTAGAAGCTTTTGCTGTCCCCCACAGTTCAAGTCCGTATGTCCATATAGGTTTCAGTATTGTCTTGTAGATAAGTAATTTGTTTTCAATAGAAAGTTTGGATTTTCTGTTTAGTAGTCTGTATAGCTGGCCGTATCGTCGGTTGAGTTCTTGTCTTTTGAGTCTAGTATGTGGGTTCCACGTTAGTCTTCGGTCTAAATGAAAGCCAAGATACCGGACTGTGTCTGAGTAAGGAAGCTGGATGGAATTAAAGTGTACTGGTGGACAGGAACTGCGTCGGAGTGTAAAGGTAATATGTTGGCATTTAGATTCATTAACTTTAATGCGCCAGTTATTACACCAGTGCTCAATCAAGGTGAGGTGGTTTTGGAGATTTAAGGATGCTATGTTGGGATCAGAGTTGGATGATAAGATTGCGGTGTCGTCAGCGAATGTTGCAAGAAAAGTATCGGGATGAACAGGGATGTCAGCAGTAAAGAGGATGTAAAGCACGGGACCCAAGACGCTGCCTTGGGGAACACCGGCTTTAACGGAGTAGATATTGGAAAATTCTGTTCCACAGCGAACTCGGAAGGAGCGGTCAGAGAGGTAGGATCGGAGGACTAGGTACAAGGACTGAGGTAAATGGATTTTAAGCTTGAAGAGCAGTCCGGAGTGCCATACCCGGTCAAATGCCTGTGCAATGTCCAGAAATGCACCCGAACAGTATTCCTTGTTTTCTAGGGCTGAGGAAATATGATCAACAACTCGGAGTCCTTGTTGAACAGTGGAATGTTGGGAGCGAAAACCAAACTGATGGGAAGGAATATTTTGGGATTCTATAATGGGTAGGATTCGTTTCAAAAGGATCTTTTCAAAAATTTTTGAAAGGATTGGGAGTAGGCTAATTGGTCTATAGGATGTTGAGATATTGGGAGGTTTGCCTGGTTTTTGGAAAAGGATAATAGTGGAGTGTTTCCATAGCAGAGGAAAGTGGGTGGTGCGTAGGATACAGTTGTAGATATATGTAAGGAATATGACTGCTTTGGATGGAAGTTGTCGAAGGATTTGAGGGGTAAGGAGATCATGTCCAGGAGCTTTACGTGGGATTAATTTTTTTAATTGAAATTTCACTTCGGAAGGATGAATAGCTTTTGGGGGCAAGGAAAGTGGGATTGGTGATGTAAGGAATTCTTCTACTGTTACGGTGTGGGCAGGATGGGATTCCGGATGTGAAATAAATGTATTGGATAGGTGAATGGCGAACTCCTCAGCCTTATCTTCGTCAGATGCTGCCCAGGAGCCATCATCTCGTCGGAGGGGATGGGAAATGCGGTGAGGATTTAAGATTTTGGTAGTGGTTTTCCAAAGGGAATTGTCGCGAGAAGAAAGGGAGGATAGGTAGGAGTTGAAGGAATGTGATCTGAAGGTGGCTAATTCCAGTTTTAATTTTTTGCAGTAATAATTATAGGAGCAGCGGTCGGTAGGATGTCGTGTACGGTGCCACAATAATCTGGCACGGCGATTGGTTTGGATTAGGTCAAGGAGGTGTTGGGGTAGAATGGTCTTTTTAGGAATTCTGGAGGAGTCTTTTGGGAAGGAAGCAGTCCAGGCGGCTTGTTGGATTGTGGTAGTAAAGGAATTTACGGCACTATCAAGGTCATTGGGAGTTTTGAGGGATATGTTAAGATCAATTTTATCGGAGATGATTTGGCGGAAAAGGTCCCAGTTAACTGGGCCCCTAATAAATGACGGTGGAGAAGGTTTGGGAATGGGTTCAAGTGAAACATTAAGGATTAGAGGACTATGGTCAGAGGAAAGTTCATTTAGACGTGTAATGGAACAATTGAGGGGACTTAAGCCGCTGTGGATAAAGAAATCAAGAAGATCAGGATTACGGTTGGGATCTGTAGGCCAGTAGGTAGGAGAGTTGGGGGAAAGGAGATGAAAATGTTGGGAATTGAGTGCAGACAGCAGGGTTCGGCCAC